AGAATATCTACTTTTGGAGTAGGAAGTTTAATGGGTTGAACTGTGTCCTCCAAAAATATACGTTTAAGTCTTAACTCCCAGTACTTATAAATGTGATTTTATTGGTAATTAATCTTTGCAGCTGTACTCAAGTTTTGTTTTAAGCCACCTAGTTTCTGGTGCTTTTCTGGTGACAGTAGCCCTAGGAAACTAACAAAGAAGGCATTAAGAGAAATCTACAAAAGAAGCAAAGAAGATACAGAAGGCAGTATCATATAAGCCAATAGATCAAAAAAGAAATGGTATAATTAATAACAATTGGTTCTGAATTCAAAAGATAAGAAATTTCCTAAGATAATCAGAGGACCTATAGACAGCTTTCTTGATCGACAAGGAGATAAGAAGTCTTATAATTGATTTCACCATGATGTAACTCTGGGTCTTTTCTATTCTTCCTTAGTAATGTTCCTTCATTTACTTCATACTCCTAACTAATTCATATCACTTTTCAAATCATGATCTCACCCCTGGATTATTGCACACATTTCTGATTTTTCTCCCTACCTCCAAGTCTCAATTCTTCAAACCACATTTCTGATTTTTCTCCCTACCTCCAAGTCTCAATTCTTCAAACTTTCTGAAATATTTTAATAATGTTATGTCTCTTCTCATAAACCTTCAATAGTTCTCTTAATACCTAGCTTAATATTCTAATTCTTTAGCCTGACATTGAGTTCACCATATATCATCCTAATCCTTAGGATTAATACTTCAATCAAGTCATGCTGCTCTTTTTACAGACACAGACATTGATTACTTCTTCTTTATAGAAACTTTTTTTCATAGCATCCTTCTCCACTGGACTAGGATATAAGTATTCTGACCCTCCACTCAGTTTCCCTAGATTCTACCCATTTTTCAAAAAGGTACAGTTTGAACTCCTATTTGAAGCATTCCCAATCATTACAAACTGGGAATTTTCTCCTTTGAACACATTTTTTTTATGCTGAAGATATGACACAATATTAGATTGTATTGTCATTTTTACTTTTCACATGCATGTCACATCTTTCCAACTATGCTGTAAGCACCAAAAAGGCATACACCATAGTTTCTGCATATTTATGATCGAATGCATTTCAGATAAAAGAAAAGTGGTGTACTGCCATAAAACAGATTGTCACTGCCACTTACCTCCTACACTTTGCCTTCGCTTTCTCTTACAGTCACCAGGAGTTTCACATTCACCTTCTTCAAAGCCTTCTAGTGATGGAGTAGCACAGAGACCATCAATACCCAGCATAGCTGGTATCTTCTCCAGGACGAAATCTGGAACATGCCCTAAAGGAAAATGTCACAATTAAGATTTTTCCTCTTATTCCCCTTGAAATGCTTAAATAGTATACACCAACTTTCTTAACAGTTGTCTTCATAGTTCACTTGGAAGAAGCTAGGATCTCCCTTATTTAAACAAATCTCATTGCTTCATAATGCAAGTACATCTTACCAATATCTGATGCATAATCAATAAAAGTCTGTACTACTGCAGCCTGTAATCGTAGTTTTTTTTCTGTGTTAGCAGACATCTTTTCATGTCCTTCACTTGTCTGAAGAAGGTTTGGTGCAAATATCACTGCAAGATTGCTGCTATCCATCTTATTCTCACTAGACCTTAAATGAAAAATAATTTTATGAGATGGAGCCAAAGATAAAAATACAGAGTTAAAATAATGTATTAAATTTTGAAGACCTCTTACTTTACCAGTCAAACAAAAGTGAAAATACAGTTCCCCTTTATCTACCCATCTACATGATTTGGTTTGAAATAATAAACGAGAAATATACAGCTTCTATAGGCTTAAATATGTATCAGAAAAATTATGCAAACCAGAGCCCACACTGTTTTTCCATACAAACTGAAGATGTTTATTTGATGTTCAAATCCACACACAGAACATTTGAAGTATTAGAAGGAAGTATGTCTAGAATAAGCAGTCTCACTGACAGCAAGGAAAGGGGACAAATTTGAAAAACAAAACATAAATATTTTAAAAACACTGTAATCTGAAATTATTCAGTGGATGAAAATCCTATAAGCATCAATGAGCCATTAAGGCATTCACAATGATGACTCTAAGACAGTGAAGAAATATCAAATCGTTTGTTTCTTAAACTATATAGAGTATACTTCTTATAGTAAGGAAATATATTTTTAAAAAATTTTCCATTTCAAATGAAATTCATTATCTAAAGGGTAAATTTAACTAGTCATTTCTCAAGACTTTTAAGTACCACTTACCTAAGAGAAACATTCCTGAGGAAGTTAAAGAAATATCTTAATATATTAATTGTGTGGTCAGGCATAAGACAGGAGAGCAACAATGTAGCTTTATTTTTCTCCTCTGTTCCTAACTGTTGAGCTTTGAGAAGTGCTTCATGCAAACCAGCTGGAAGAATGGGCTCTGGCAGTTCCCTAAAAAACTGCTTAAGAAGTCCTGCAACATCACAAGGAGGTGCAGAAGACAGGCCACTTTCACCATGGTCTAGTTTATTCTGAAATAAATAAAATAATCTTGAGCATTTGAGAGCTTAAGAGTACATAGCAAATAGTGTCCTTTCTTATACTCTAAAGAGCTTTCTCCAATAAATTTCTCTTAATTCTTGTTTTAATATACATATATCTCCCTTTTAGAAGGCTAAAAACAATTTTGCAAGTTTTTTTTTCCATTTATAGGAACAAGTACCATGAATTTGAAAGTACTCTTTTGAAGCATGACATAAATAGCTTGATTGTGATAATTTCGCGATGTTTATGTAAATTAAAACATCGAGTTGTACATCTTAAATGAATTATACCTCAATAAAACTGAAAAAAAGGCATATGATATACATTTTCTTTTGAAAAATAAAGTTCTTCTGACATAAAAAATATTTGCAAATTCAATTTCTGTCAATAATTCATGTAATGCTTCTAAGTTTTTCAATCATAAAAACTAAATCAAAATGTGGTACAAAATAAAAATTAAAGTTCAAGAATATGCTTACCTTTAGTGCTTTTAGACGAATAACAGATCCTGATTTCCTAAAAAGCCCTTCTGTATGGATATGCTCTTCTAAAGATGTGCAAGCATCAACAAGAAAACTGAAAGAGAGAAATCTTTTCAGGTGGCCAGATACACACCTTTCTAAATCCTATTATTCTGCCAAAGTACATCAGCAGACCAGGCACTACACTCCTTTCAGAAGCTCTGATTGCACAATTCCCTGTAATCCCTGTGATGAAAGGTTGTTGGCTTCCTAAATTCTTCTCTAAGACTCATCTTTTTACCCATAACAACTTCAATGAGCCCATTCAATCCTACTCCATTTCCCTGTTTCCACTGAGAGCACAGGATTTGTCATTTTTACTGCCTCTACTTCAAATCCCAGTTTCTACTGTACCCTCTCCAATCTAACTCTTATCCCCAATACTCCAACAAAACAGCTCTTGTCAAGGCTATAAGGGCCTCTCCCTTGTCAAATCCATGATCAATTCATTGTCTTCATCTTGCTTGTTCTACTAGTATTTAACGTACTTGATTACCTCCTGCTCATCTTGAAAATACTTTTTCACTATTCTTCTGGTTTTCTTGCTGACTCCCTGACTGCTTCTTCTCTAACTCGTTTTCTGGATCCTTTTTCTGCCAGACCTCCACATGCTAGGATGACCCAGGGCTCTAAGGCCGTCTACTTTTCTTTATTCTCTCTCCATGTGTAAGCTTGCACAGCACACACAGCTTAAAATATCTACCATCTACTACATTAGCTCAAAAATAAGGAAAGGTTTTATTTCTCACCCTAACGTTACTTGTCAGAGAAGCCAGATATATCCCAATCCTTAGAATCCTTCTCATATTTAAAGGTATGTGCTTAATTTCTTTATATCGAACAATTTTGAACAACGTTGGCTTTAGATGCTTAGTTAATAGCCGGTACCAACAAAGTAGAACAGATGTCAGCTGCAAGCAACTGATAGAATTCTACTGGTACACAGTGGCTGAATGTCATAGATGTTAACTGACAGTTTTTTTTTCTTTTAAAGCAGGCAACAAAGATGTAGTTCTTATTACTGGGAATATGACTTTGCAATTCTAAATGTTGAAAATTACAAATGAACATTTGATAGGTCATTTAAAAAGCAAAAGAGTGAGAAAAAACCTTATGAAGATTGTGAATCTAGACCTATGGGCTGAGAGAAAATGGTTCTAAAGCAGCAAGGTGTTCAATAAATGCTTCTGGACAATGTATCAAACATCTAGGTTATTGGACTAGAATAGCCAGAATGAACCCTACTTGTGCATTTTTAAACTATTTTCATTAGATGTAAACTTCCTTAGTAATTTCTGATGCAGTTAGTCTAAAGGTTATTTATAAATAAATAGTAAGTGACATAGAAAAGCTTCGGTGTTATCTAATTTCTATTCACAAGTACTCCTATACCTTAGCCCAAATATACTTTTATCTAACATTTCTAAAAACAACAAAAAATATCAAAATTACAACTGAATTGGTAATTCAGTATATTACTGAATATAATCAAAATTGTGGCAAAAGAATTGGTATTGAACTGAAAACTGTAACTTAATAAAACAAAAATAATTGCCTTTCTAACATTTATTCATTTCTGAACCTTAAAATTCAATCCTGGAAATGAATACAAATTAAAAGTTAAAATGTGTAAAAGTTTAAAAAACTTTTACATTACTCTTAAGAACTTAAATCATTTGCTAGTTCAAAACAAATGTGTGAGTCCATCACCTATTTTTAAACACTCAAACACCAGCCTGAAATAGTTATTCTTCATTTCAAATTTTGCTTACCTTGGAACGTGTCCATATTCTGGTACAATGGAATGGGGCAATGCATTAAAAGGTACTCCAAATATTTTACCCTAAAATGACAAATTTAGTTACTCTAACGCAAATATTAGGCATAATATAAGTTTTCATAAACACTAAGCAAGATAAAAACCTCAGGAAATAAAAACAAAAAGCAGAAATAAACTATTAATCAAGACAATGAAAACAATTATTTCAAGTACATTTGGTAAAAAGTAACTACTATATACCAGACATTATGCTAGGTACTGGGAGTACATAGATGCTAAAGATTAAGTCACTGTTTAATCTTGATAAATTCCATCAGTTTCCAATGCCATAAAGGAAAATCAATCTAGTTGGTGCTTAATCAGGAAATCTTAATCTTATTTGGCTCAAAACACTAATATTTTCTCCAAAATACTACCAGTTCCTTCAGTAACCTTATAAATGCTGATTTTATAAATACTGACTTTATATCTTCCTTCAGTCACCTTATAAATACTAATTTGAACAAAGGGCTAAGTCGATTGATAATGGTAATTCCTGTCACTCATTGAGAATTTCCTAAAATTATTTCAGAAGTGGGTATTTTTAGACCTGATTATCTTTTCCACACTCTATGGAAAATTGCTATTCAAACTATGTTCTGATGGACCCATGGTAGGGATTCTGAAAACATTTAGTTCGAATTTCATTTAACTATTTTGAAAACCACCTTTTAAAAGTCATATTCAAATGTAGTACTCACATTTAAATTTTAATACATTGAAGATCCCACGAGTATAAATTTGCATGTTGGTTAACTTGCATGTTTGTACACACCTTGCCACTAGTTTTGTGCATGCATTCAAGCTTCTTAAAAATGTGTCACTGATTAAAAAGGTGGTAGTTTATCACTGGACTTAAACAAATAAATTGAAGCCTGTATATGTCTCTTACAAAAAAATTAAATTAGTGGGTATATCTAATCTCATAAATGTTAATTTAGCTTAGATGCACCCGCTCTCCATGAGTGCTCTAGAAGCAATTATGTTTTAAGAGCACTTTATTTCACCTTATATTTACAATAAGAAATCATTTGACATTGTTAATGATTCAACAGAGTTATTAGTCCTTTTCAAGCATCTGGCTCCATTTAATTGATGGTTATAGAAAAGACAGTGTGGTACAGTGCTTAAGAAAGCAAGTTCCTAGAGGCAGGACTGCCAGATTTTAAAATCCTGGCTCTTCTACTTATTAAGTGACCTTGATCAAATTAACATTCTCTATGTCTCAGTATCCTCGCATAGGTCCTAAGTCATAGTTGTAGAAAGAATTAAATGAATAAACGATGTTAAACATTTATATCAGTGTCTGACACAGAGTAAACATTTAAAGAATATTGGTTACTGTTATGATTATCATTTTAAGGTGAGCTACTTAAAAAAAAAAAATTGTTAGCATGGGCAATCCCTTATTTGGGTAAATTGGAATTTGCCTGATACTGTGCAATCCAACAAAATACAAAAATAAACCAGATGCTGAAGCTGATTATAAGTCTAAAAATGTCATACATAAATAGAATTCAAGGTGATTTTTTTTCCTTCAGTCTCATTACTCAATATTTGGCTTCACAAGTAACTGCTATAATTTAACCTCATAAAATAATATGCTTTTTAAATTTTATGATTGAAATATTACTTACAATATCATCTTAAAATCATTGCTAGTACTTTTCTTTAAAAAGTACTAGCTAGTACTATCGTTTGCTAACAAACACCAAAAAACTAAAGAAATCGAGCTTTCAAACAATTACCAATCCTGTAACACCAATTTCAAACAATTACCATTCATGTAACACTACAATGCTGTGTAGTTCTTCATTAGAATATTTTATTAGGGTTTCTACCATTACTATCAACTAGGATGCAGACCACTTATGGTAACAACTATCATTAGTTGAATAAGTGGCTTGTGATAGGCATTGTGTTAGTCCTATCTACAGATCTTAATGTTTTTTTAAATCCCCTAAACGACCCCAAAAGTGATACTATTATTATCATTTTATAGAGTGGAAAACTGAAGCTTAGAAAAATTAAACAATCAGCCCAAGGTCCCAAATCTAATATGGGTAGAGCAGCATTCAAATTCAGGTCTGACTCTAAAGACAGGTGTCAGTTTTTTCTTAAGAGGTGGAAAAAAAAAAAACACCCATGTACAAATTCTTTCATATACTCACAAAACCAACTATATTTGAGATCTTGGAAAGCCAGTTTTACAATCCAAAGAAACCACTATAGCTTTTAAGTATAAACAAGTATCTTGTCATTACGATGCAAACAACAAAAACAATTTCTCCAAATTTATAAGAAGTATATAAATTCTCAATAGTTTTCTTCTCCAAGTACTTACTATCTTTCAGAAATTATAAATTAAGAGTCATGCAATTTAATTTTATTTTCATCTCTAAGTACTTAGAAAGTACGATAGGTAAATTTAAAGTTGAAATGTGTTATGTTCAATTTATTTTATGAAATTATCGATGGTGCAGTAGATATAAAAATCTCATTCAAAATACCCTTACTTTGACCACCCAAAAATCATCAACAGCTTTTTAATTATGCCACTTTGGCTTCTCAATTTACTCATTAAAAAAAAGCTTTAAGCTTTATGTCTCCAAATATGATATAGCCAAGAAGTTTTTTTTTTTTTTTTTTAAATGAGTGTATATGGAGGCATTATCTGAAACCTATTTCTAATGTTCTGTCACACCTCTTCATCTACTGATTCATTTTAGGAAATGTACTGCTCTTCCTTGCCCCTCTCCAAATCTTACTCTACAACAGCGGTGGTGGGATACTGTTTGTCTCCCTTCCCATGTGCTACTTGTTCAAAATACAAGAGATTGGCAATATCTGGAGATTTTTTAAATTGTCACAAACGGGAGATGCTACAGTCTGGTGGGTAGAAGCCAGAAATACTGATAAACATACTTCAACGCACAGGACAGCTACCCACCATTCCTCAATTATCTAGTTCAAAACATCAAGCTGCTAAGGCTGAAAAACCGTGCAACTTTCTCTCAGTGACCAAAAATACCTGTAAAGAATCAAAAATGTCATTCTTTAAATTTCAGCAGTTGACCATCTGAGTTGAATTAGACACACAACCACATTCGCTTTTGGATCTATACAAACAAGCATTTAAGCATGATCTGGTAATAAGTGCTGGTACGGGGTATGCCTTCTTCTTCTTCTTTTTT